TTTACTTAAATTAAATTTTTTTATAATTCTTATTCATTTATTATATAATACCATCAAGATAATTCATATAAAATGAAAGAATTGAAAGGATTATAGAAGCCCATAAAGAATGTGTGGTATAAAATAATTGATATTTTTTTATTTTTATTTATATTAAAATTTTAAAATTTATTTATATTTTTACCTATTTTACTCTTTTTCTTAAAGAGATATTTTTTAGACAAAATAAAATAAGTAATTAAAGTTAAAGGATTAAACATAGAAAGTTTTCCAACAAAATAGTAATGAGAATCTGGCTGGACATCTTAAACGTGTCCCTCTGTTTCTCCTCATCACCTTATTCACTCCTAAACACACACTCGAAGAACACTCATAACTCCGACACCCCTATCTTTTCCCTCAAATATATTCTCGCCTGAACACCTCCCTTCCTTCACACTTCTCTTCTCTTCCCCCTACCCAAGATGATATTCCTTTTCCTCTCCTTTCTCTTCTTCTCATTCCCTTTCCCCTCTCATTCCCTCAACCAGGAAGGCCTCTACCTTCTCCAAGTCAAGAACTCATTCTCTGGCTCCAACGATGCCCTCTCCTCCTGGAACCCCCGTGACCCAACTCCATGCCACTGGTTCGGCGTCACTTGTGACCCCACCACCCATTCTGTCACTTCCCTTGATCTCCCCAGCAGCAACCTCGCCGGCCCTTTCCCTTCCCTTCTCTGCCGCCTCCCTTCCCTCTGCTTCATTTCCTTCTTAAACAACTCCATCAACGACTCCATCCCCACCGACATTTCCGCCTGCCAAACTCTTACCCGCCTGGACCTTTCACAGAACCTTCTTACCGGTGATCTCACGGCGAGTCTAGCGGACCTGCCTAACCTTAAATACCTCGACTTGACGGGTAATAATTTCTCGGGAGACATTCCCGAATCTTTCGGGCGGTTTCAGAAACTGGAGGTTATCTCTCTGGTTTATAACCTTCTAGATGGCACTATCCCCGGGTTTTTAGGGAACATTAGTACGCTGAAGATGCTGAATTTGTCGTACAATCCGTTTAGTAAGGGTCGGATCCCGCCGGAGCTGGGCAATTTGAGGAACCTGGAGATTTTGTGGCTCACTCAATGCAATTTAGTCGGCGAGATTCCTGACTCGTTGGGTCGACTCAAGAAGGTGACTGATTTGGACTTGGCGGTCAACAATCTGGTGGGTCCCATTCCGAGTTCACTCACCGAGTTAACGAGTGTAGTGCAGATTGAGCTCTTCAACAACTCGCTCACCGGCGAGTTGCCTCGGGGATTCTCCAATTTGACCAACTTGAGACTTCTCGACGCGTCAATGAATCGATTGACTGGGAATATCCCAGATGAGTTGACTCGGCTTCCACTCGAAAGTCTCAATCTTTACAACAATCGTTTTGAAGGAACGGTGCCCCCCAGCATTGCCGACTCACCGAATTTGTACGAACTCAGGCTGTTTGGAAACCAACTTAGTGGTGAGTTGCCTGTTAATCTCGGGAAAAACTCGCCGCTGAAATGGCTCGACGTGTCGAGCAACCAATTCACTGGTGAGATACCGGCGAGTTTATGCGAGAAGGGCGAGCTGGAGGAGCTTCTGATGATAAAAAACGAGTTTTCTGGTCAAATTCCAGCAAGTTTGAGCGAGTGCCGGAGCTTGACCCGGGTCCGATTGGGTTTCAACAAGTTGTCCGGTGAGGTGCCCGCTGGTTTTTGGGGTCTTCCCCATGTTTACTTGCTTGAGCTTGTAGATAACTCGTTTTCAGGTCCAATTGCAAAGACAATTGCAAATGCTGGAAATCTTTCTCTATTGATTATTTCAAGAAATGAGTTTAATGGCTCAATACCAGAAGAGATTGGTTTTCTACAGAATCTGATTCAGTTTTCCGGTGGTGAAAATAGTTTTAGTGGGTTATTGCCTGAGAGCATAGTGAATCTTACTGATTTAGGTATTCTTGATCTCCATCGTAACCAGTTATCGGGGGAGTTGCCTAGTGGAACCGAATCCTGGAAGAAGTTGAACGAGTTGAATTTAGCCAGCAATTCATTTTCCGGGAAGATACCGGATGGAATTGGAAGCTTGTCTGTGTTGAACTATCTGGATTTGTCAAATAACCAGTTATCGGGGGAGATCCCTACAGAGTTGCAGAAACTGAAGCTCAATCAGCTCAATTTGTCCAATAACAGGTTATCAGGTGAGCTCCCTCCATTGTTCAATAAAGAAATGTACAAGAACAGCTTTCTCGGAAATCCTGGTTTATGTGGAGACTTCACTGGTTCTTGTAATGGTAGAAATAAGGACAGTAATCGAGGTTTTGTCTGGTTGCTTCGATCCATTTTTGTGTTGGCAGCAGTTGTTCTTGTTGTTGGTGTTGTTTGGTTTTACCTGAAGCATCGGAGTTTCAAGAAAGGAAGAGCTATGGATAAGCCTAAGTGGACACTAATGTCATTCCATAAGTTAGGATTTAGTGAAAAAGAAATACTGGATTCCCTTGATGAGGATAATGTGATTGGTACTGGATCGTCTGGGAAAGTGTACAAGGTTGTGCTTAGTAATGGGGAAGCTGTGGCGGTGAAGAAGCTTTGGGGAGGACTGAAAAAGGGGTATGAGAGTGAAGATCTTGAGAAGGGTCAAGCTCAAACCCATGATGACGGGTTTCAAGCAGAGGTAGAGACTTTAGGGAAGATTAGGCACAAAAACATTGTTAAGTTATGGTGCTGCTGCACGACTAGGGATTCTAAGCTTTTGGTGTATGAGTACATGCCAAATGGTAGCTTGGGTGATTTGCTGCATGGTAGCAAAGGAGGGTTGTTGGAGTGGCCAACAAGGTACAAAATTCTTGTGGATGCGGCTGAAGGAATCTCATATTTGCATCATGATTGTGTGCCCCCAATTGTACATAGAGATGTTAAGTCCAACAATATACTGTTGGACGGAGATTTTGGTGCGCGGGTGGCTGATTTTGGAGTTGCGAAGGTGGTTGATGCAACTGGAAAGGGTCCCAAATCTATGTCTGTGATTGCAGGGTCTTGTGGTTACATTGCTCCAGGTTAGTCCTTGAAATTCTCTGTTTTCAGCATTTCCATTGAATCTTTTAGTCTATTCGGTTATAGTCTGCAATTACTTTTAACATTCCAGTGCTTAATTATGTACCCAAAAAAAAATTCAGTGCTTAATTCTTTGCTTTGAATGATTATTTCTTTAATTCATATGTAGCTGTGTTTTGAGCTCAGTTGGACCTAATCCCTCTTTGCAAAATCTGTTTACAGAGTATGCTTACACACTACGAGTGAACGAGAAGAGTGACATATACAGTTTTGGAGTGGTTATACTTGAACTAGTCACGGGGAGACTTCCAGTTGATCCAGAGTTTGGGGAGAAGGACCTGGTGAAGTGGGTCTGTACCACTCTAGATCAGAAAGGAATGGACCACATTCTGGATCCCAAGCTCGATTCCTGTTTCAAAGAAGAAATATGCAAGGTCCTCAACATTGGACTCCTATGCACTAGCCCCCTTCCTATCAACCGCCCATCCATGAGAAGGGTGGTCAAGATGCTGCAAGAAGTAGGAGCTGAGAATCAGCAAAAGTCCACCAAAAAAGATGGCAAGTTAACCCCTTACTACTATGAAGATGCCTCAGATCAAGGAAGTGTAGCTTGAGAAACTTTTCCTCTAGGAGTTGTTTGGAAAAAAAAAAAAAAAAGGGAGGAAGATAGAGATCCCCCCATGATTAATTAAGCCCCATACTTCTCTTAACCTTTTCTTTCAATCATTATCCCCACCCCTTGTTTCCTTTACAGGGTGGGAAGAGAAAGTAGGAAGAAAAAAATTTTCAGAGAGGAATGGAGTTTAGCAAGGAGTGAAGTGAACGTACAGTGTAAAGCTATCAAAAATTAAGGTTTATCACTTCCACTGAATATTGGTACCGTGCAAGAAATTCTAGCATTTATTAGACGACCCAGTAAATTTTTAATTTGATCAACTAGGGCCTTACATTCTGCCTCGAGGAAACATGGGAAGACCCATTAAAGGGAATTGAATTTGCTGAATTTATTCTTGGATAGCTCCCTGGTGTGAAATTTTCAGAGTCAATGGAGGTATACACTGTTAGGTGAGGGTGGTCCTCCATGGGACCCTAACCATTTATGCGAAGGCCTTGCTGTTTCTAATTGCTCTTCATTGTGATTATCTATGCGTCTTTTTGGAAGAGGGCCAGAGCCGAACCACTGCTCTTGTCCCTTTTTGTTAGTTACTTGTCTTGTTTCAATTTAATGTGTGTAAAGTTGTTAGTCATATTTGCTGGTTGTCTTAAAAAGAGACAATGCTCTGGTTTTAGCAGTACAGAAAAGTAGGATGATGGAGTCTGCCACTCTAATTATTGATGGAGGAGCAATTTTTATTATATTAGAAATCCATCCCTCTATCAAATATTAAGAAAATTGTAATTCATATAAAATAAATTACAAAACAAGTGTTACACCAATTTCAAGTAAGAGGAATGTAATAAGTCACAATTTAATATCAATATAAAAGTTGAGATATCTTTCAATCTTAAAAGGTTTGTTATTTCTAAACTTAGCCTTAAGTAGGGGGAAGATCATCGATGTCATGTAATTTTGATGCCAAGTTAGATAGATAATGAATTACAACTTACACTTTATTAAAAGTTGAGATTAAAAGATGTTTATTAATCATTAAGGATCTCTGTAATTGTTATTGAGAATGAGATTTATTTTAGAGAAATACTAACTACACTATATTAGAGTTCCTACATTAGACTTCTTTTGCAGTTTTGAGTTGAAGAATGGATATTTACAATTTTACATGAACAAATTTGAGAGAAATACTAGCTATACTTTTTGTTATTTTGAATGGCCTCTACACTTTCTTTAATATTCTCTATGAATAATTTGTACATGTTTATGTAAATATAACACGATTTTGTCTATAATTGATGATAAGTGATTCAAGTTAAAATTAATATATTTAAATTCAAAATTATCAACAATCAAAAATAAAAATTAAAAAAGAAGTACAACGTGACCCAATGAGAGTGTAAAAAAATGTATATAAAGGAATCGCCCAAAAATTTAATGCAGGGAATGGGTGACCCTCTCTGGGAACCATAGTTCAATTATGGTCAAGCGTTGTTAAATGGGCATGGGCTTTGGTTATATTGGTAATGCATGGAAATGATGTGAAGAGGAGCACCAAAGTAAAGAACTTTACTAAAGAGGCAAAAGCCCAGCAGAAAAACTTTCTAAAGGGCCAATCCAAATACCCAACAAATGAACTGTCAAATACTTTCTTATCCTTTTTTTCTTAATTAGACGTGTCCTAAGTTGTGGAGCGGACTAAAAAGTCCAATTAGACCCAAAAACTTGTGGATCTTGTATTTCTTCTTGTTCTTGATATTATTAGCATATCTAAAAAAGGAACTTTCTAGGAACACCAAAAAAAAAAAAAAAAAAAAAAAAAAAAAGAGGGGGACGAAAAATGGTTCATCATCTCTTTTGCCAAAAAATGCAAAACGAAACTCTTGACATCTTTGCATGCGCCATCATAAGTAACATTACCATCTCAAGTTAATTTATTATTTAAAGAAAAAAGGTATTAGTTTCGACGAAAATGATGTAATTTCTAAATATAATGTTGTTGTTTTCGGTCTACCCCACATGAAAAATCAATTTGATGAGGTAGGAAAAGACGAAAATAACATTAAAAAATCATTATGCATTTTTTTGATACGTCTGATTATAGATTATACAAAAAAAGATAGTTTTTTCTTATTTTCAAATTTCTCCCCATTTGACTCAAAACTTAAATTTAAGATTTCTAATTTTAAATTTCAAACTCTTAACCATTGATTCACCCTATTAAGATTATCTTCATGTATTCTTAATTCATAATTAATAATATTTTTTATTTTTCTTTTCATATCAAACTGATATATTTAAATATAGATCAGATTATAAAATCCTTCTATGATTTTTAAAACCATGCTTAATTAAGTGAAAATATCTTCCTCACTCCACAAAGCCAAGATCAGTTCATGTCCCTCTAAAAAGAAAATGATTAGTGCACCCTCCAGTTCAACACACCTAATAATATCCATCGGTTCAATCAGTAAAATTTGACTCTGAAAATTTTCTCACCTTGAATTCAAATTTGAAAATATTAGTTTCTTAATGATTGAACCGAAAGGTATTGTTAAGTGTATTGAATCGGAGGGTGTACCAATCATTATCCCCCTAAAAACATAATAACTTAAAAGGGGTTTTCTAGGACATAAATGAAGAATATAATAAATATATTTTGTATCATTAATTTATATTAAGAAAATAAAAATTTACTTTTAATTTTAATTATTTAACAACAATTTAGTATTAATTTTTATATTTTTATGATAAAAAAATATTTTTATAGCATAAGTTAAAAAAACTCAACTTAAAAACACCAAACTCATCATGCATCAACTTTATATCTTGATAGCTCTTACGGAATGTCTTAAGAATTAATAACTTAAATCTTTATATCGCTTGGAGGTTTCAAATTCAAGTTCAAATTCTAGATAAATGAAGTAAGATTTGGGAAAGGAAAACTATATCTCTATTGTATATTAATCCATTATTAATTGTACCTAAAAAAACTTTATAACTTGATTTTTTTTTCTTTGAATTAAAGATTATAATAATACTCTTCCTAGCTGAATTTAGTTTTTTTACATTTTAAATAAGAATAGTCATTTCTCTAGTTCATTGCTTCTAGGGTTGAAAGCAGTGGCAACGAGTTTTCTTTCCTAGGGATTCTCTTCGGTAGAGAAGTTCCTACATCCCTCCTTTCTTCTTATCCCTCCCTTCCTCCTCTTGATCTCCTCCTTCATGTTGTTCACTGTCTTGCTTTGGAAACTCCAACCCAAGGGACCACAAGGTAGTGACTTTTTGGGTTTTCTAGGGTTTACATATGTTGATTTTCAAAGGCTGTGATTAGAATTGATCTTGTCAGTGAAGTGAGTTTCTCCTATTTAAGGGGCAAGAATCTCACTTTGGTGCATCTCCTCGGACAAGATCTTGGTAGGGGTCAAATTTGGCGAATCTGGTTCACACCAGTTCCTAATCAGCTAGTCGATTGCCAAAGGAAAGGGATGCTATTGGTAAAACCGACTATGGTCTGCATGGGAAGCCTAATTTTCAAGCCTACAAAGGGGCTCTAATTCCCTTTATGAGTTTCGACAGCATGGGTTTGAAGAGGATCTACAAAGAAGGGAACATGATTGGGAGTATATAGAGGTGACTGAGGGACCTTGTGCTTGTCAAGAGAAGGCCTATACCCTTCTTAGTTGTTCTTCTTTAAGAACAAGTAGGGCGGCAACTTGTGGGTTGGGGGCTGTTTGTTGCTAAAATCCCTTGCTCTCCCCAAGAGACTGGTTAAATAGATAACGATGTCCAATAGTTCTTAATACTCATAGTGACTTCCTTTTCTACATTAGTAGCCTCATTTAACCCATACATCAATTGTAAATTCAATTGTAAATTCAATTCATAATTGCAGATGACTCTCTTTACTTAATTGTTTATATCTGTCATGGCATAATTTAAGTCTGTTACTAGTGTTGTAGGTTATGCTTCTGATTTTGTCTTTAGCTTATTTTGATTTTGGCTATACGTCATAAGATAAAGATTATGCTGTAATTTTTTATTACTTATTATATTTCTCTATTTCCCATCAAAAAAGAAAAAAAAGAAAAGTCAAATTTAATTGTCTTATTTTTTATTTTAATAACATATTAAATACTAGTATTTTAATTTTACTTTACTCTCAAAAGAAATAAAATTATGTTGGGATTTTTTTTATTTAATTATAAATAAAGATGAAAATAAAAAATAAATCTCAACTATTATCATAAAAAATTTCTTAATAAAATAAATCAAATAAAACAACTAAATTTTACCTCAATGACTAGTTATTAGATGTATGCTACTCTAGTTGGCTAAAAAAAAAAAGGAAGTATACTACTCCATCATATTGCATCTAGAAATAGAATAGATTTATCCTAGTCTACCTAGCAGCATCTTTACCAAACTTCAAACAGCTTTCTCTAAAGCAGCACTTTTACGTGTGGACTCCACAAGTTTTGAGGATTTTACTTTGGTTTGTTCCAACTAAACCTTTATTTTAATGACCGATTATTAATTATTACAATCTTGCTTGCCTTTCTAATTA